CAAAAATTTCAAACAAGAGTTCTTTCGGGTTGCGCTTAAGGACGTCGACCTGTTGAAAGATGAGGTGTTCCATTTCGGCGGGTTGCCAAAGTTCCCTTTTTACTGGCGACAGGCTCCGGTCAGGTTTAATGGGTCAGGCAATCTGCAATTGACAGCCTCAGATACTGCTGCCATTGCAAACCTAGAAGCGCTAACTCGGCATACAAGGAGAGAGGTCTAGAGAGTGAGTATCTCATCCTTCTTGGTTGCCAGGGTTCGGGAATCATGTCTTTTACTGACGTATCTGGTTTTCGTGTTTGCAGGCATAATGGGGAAGAACAAATGGCGCGAGTTGAAGTCTCGCTACAACGTCGCCGAGATTGAGGTCCCAGAGCCTCAAGAGGAGGAGGTGGCCCCCTTGGAGACCCGTCGAAAAAGAAAGAGGGGAGAGAAAGAGGTCGGGGGACCTCTGCCCCTCAAGATACTGAGGAGGTGACCTCGAAGGCTGCCGACGCCGGCGCGGTTGACCTTACTAGGAGTCCTCTGCCCGAGGGAGCTCCCTAAGTGGCCGTCGAGGAGGTTTCCCAGAACGCTGAGGAAGTTGCCTAGGCTGCCGAGGTTGGTGCCTTTCTTTGTGGTTTTCCTTCTATATTGCCCTTTTCTTGATTTCTGACTTAGGAGGAAATTTTTGTCTTTTGTAGGCGAGGAATGCTGTCGAGGTCCGGGTGGCTCCGAGCTTGGAGGTACCAGGGGCGGGCGCCCCCGTTGCTGAGCAGGAGGCGCCTGCTTCTACTTTTGCCGAGGCCCGCGGCAAGGGGCTGAGCTCTGAGGTCCCGACACCTACTCCTGCAGCCTCGGCGCTGCCGTTCGGCCCGTCGAGGGGGGCCCCCAAAAGCCAATACCTCGCCCAGCGTTTTGGAAAGGATCTCTCTCTGGTGCGGTTGGACAACGTGAGCGCTTTGGAGGATATAGACTCATTATGGAGCGCGGGGGTGACCTCGGAGAAACTCTTCCCCAAGGGTTCGCTGAGCTCGGCTGATCAGGCTATGATCGAGACGGCCGGGCCAGTGGAAGGCCTTGATTCTGCTTAGGTCTTTTTGCATAGGACAATGGCTATTGTGGACCATTAGAAGCACAAGTGGTCCAAGCAGCAAGAGGACCTGGTGAAGCTGAAGGGCCGAGTCCAGCCTTTGAAGGAGGAGAACAAGGCCTTAGCGGCTGCTCTCGGCGAGGCCAAGATGCAGAATGAGGCCGAGCTTCAGGCCACCAAGAGGGAGGTGGTGAGAGTTCATAAGTCTTTGGAGGTTGCTCTGAGGACCAACGAGACTTACGCTGCCCAAGTGAATGAGTTGCAGAAATTTGCCACTTCTTCTTGGGGTCGGGTGCGCTCTTTGGAAGACGAGGTGACTGCGCTGAAAGCTGATCTGGCTGAGGCAGCCAATAAGCGTCTTTGTGACGAGATGCTTCTTGGTGGGAAAGAAGAGGAGGTCGTCGCTCTGAAGGCGGACCTTGCCAGCATGGTCGCGGAGAAGGCGGACCTTGCCTAAAAAGTCCCACATTGCTTAGGAGTCGAGGCTAAGGGTAGTTTATAAACACCCCCCCTCCTTAATCCACCAAGGTGCCTTTTTAAGGACAAAACCGTGACGGCCCAACGAGCGCCAAAGCGGACAATACCTCGAATGCAGTGACCCTAACGATGACAGCGGACTTACGATAGGAACATTAGCACTAGAAGGAGGGCTTAGGTCACTCTTGCCCCTTAGCATCGAATGGGGGGCTTGTTCCGGTATGCCTAAAAAGTCCCACTTCGCTTAGGAGTCGAGGCTAAGGGTAGTTTATAAACACCCTCCCTCCTTAACCCACCGAGGCGCCTTTTCAAGGACAAAACCATGACGGCCCAACGAGCGCCAAAGCGGACAATACCTCGGATGCGGTGACCCTAACGATGACAGCGGACTTACGGTAGGAACATTGGTGGGCGCCAAATGTCCTTACCGGAGATCGGTCATAGGGGACGATCTGCTGGGTAAGATCGGTGAGCCTCCTTCACTAGGTACGCTTGCTGGTCCACGGCGGGGGTGGTACCTGTAAAAGAGACTCCGATGCTAAAGTTAGTGTTTGTGGGTGTACAAGTCTCGTATAAGTAATGCACGTACCTTTTTGTGAATTAGGGTTTTGTTGGGCCTTGGGCCTGAGATTAGTTTATGACCTATTTGGATGTCGGTCCTTGTCTTGACCGACGTCGCGTATCCGAGGTTGACTTGCATTGTAATGCCGAGCTAGAGCTCGGCATTACGGGATAGTACAATATGTTTAAGGGGAACCTGGAGATTAGATAACCCCTAGAGTTAAGTTTGAAAAGTCAAAGTTTAAGTTAAAGTCAAAATTGGTCGAGAAATGAATGAGGTATATATACAAAAATAAAATATGAAATTTCATTATTTTCATCCTTAAGTTCTTAGAGTGATAAGTTCGAGAGAGCAACTCTAAGAACAAAGAAGCTAAAAGTTTATTTTCTTCTTTCTTTTGATTTCAGATTCTAGGAAGCTAAACCCCAAACGTGTGGTTCAGCGGTAGGGGTTGATCCACGCTTAAGCGAGGTCAGGGGTTCGAATCCTGCCTTGTGTATGCAGCCGCGTTAAATCTTGGGGCCAGCTATCCCACCCTTTGAGGTGCCTCCAACGTAGTGAGGAGATTAGTCACTACTATCGGCGGTGGATACTCCAGGGATGAACCAAAAAAAAAAAAAAGATTCTAGGAAGCTAAATGACATAATAAAAACTTGTTTTCTTGTCATTTGAAGTTGTAGTTGAGTGTGGAGTTGATGAGCCGAATTGATGGCTTAATGTTGTGAATTTGGAAGATTTATCTATGAGAGGTTGTTAAATTTCTAAGTCCTGTCTAAGGAGGGTGATTGTGTGATGGATTATGGATGCATGTGTGTTGGAGTTATTTTATGGTATTTGTCTGAGGGGATATTTTATGAGTGTTATTTTTATAAGGTTATTACACAAGCATACTCCACAATGATGAGATATTGTCCACTTTGGGCCTAAGTCTTCACGATTTTGCTTTTGGTCATCACCCAAAACGTCTCTAGCATTGAAGTATGTTTGTACTATATAAGTTGTTATTTCTTATCTTATTTTATCGATGTGGAGCTTGTTTGAGGGAATATTTTATGAGTGTTATTTTATAAGGTTATTACACAAGCATACTCTACAATGATGAAATATTGTCCGCTTTGTGTCTAAACCCTCACAATTTTGCTTTTGGTCATCACCCAAAAAGTCTCTCTAGGATTGAAATATATTTGTGCTATATAAGTTGTTATTTCTTATCTTATTTTATTTATGTGAGACTTGTTTGTATCTCAACAATGTGAGATATTATGCAGATTTTGACATTTTGATGTTGGAAACAAAGTTTTTTATGGTTTAAATTCAAAGTTGAAGCTTCGGATTGTCATACATGTGGAGAGTGTTGGGTATTCTCGCTCAATGAACCTTTAAAGGTTGAAGATTAAAGAGTAGACGACACATTTTTACTTAATGAGATGGATCTTACTCAGCAAAAATGAAAAAAAATAATTATGAATTTTTCTTTCATGATTTTTATTTTGGGTTATTAGTCCCTGTACGTAAAAAAAAAAATAGAAAAAGAAAGATGTACACCGATCTTATAAATAAAATTTGTGTAAAACATAAAAAATTCAAATCATACAAAAGAACTAGTTCATGATTTCATCATAGTTTAAAAGAACAACCACTATATTAAAATCAATGTATTTAATAATTTTAAATAAATAAAAATATAAATACACTGCACAATATATATCTTCTAATTTGTACGTTTTTGATAAAATCTATTATTAGCTTCTCATTGAAACTCATACTTAAATGCTTATTTTTTCTACATAATTGAGATATTGTATATTTGAATTTTTCTTTTGGTAATGTTTTTTTAATGATATTTTATTTATTTGACTTGAATTTTAAACTTTTTTTTCCCTTCAAAACATCTATTTTTAATGGATATAACTCAGTAGCATTATTTCAAAACGACAATTCTCAGGAGAAGGATCCTACAAAGTTTTAGGGGGCACTAGAAGAAAAGGAGATCTCATTTTGACTATAAAATTCTTCTCTCTAGAGTTTATCTCTAGGTTATTCAGAAAGAACTTATGAAGTTTAAATTTTAAGAAAATTTTTATATATTCTTCTTCAAGTTGACCTTCATTCAAAATAAATTATCGACTAAAATTCCTTAAAAATTCTTAAATCCTTAGAATTTTCAATATTTAAATAATTAAATCATAACAACAAATATTCTAATAAAATAAATAAATGCTAACAAAATTCACAGTATTACATTAATAAGAGTATTTTAAACAATTTTTTAATGATAATATTTTCAAATTTTCTTAACTTTTTATCTTTTTAAATTTTTCATTTTCATTTTTAAACTAAATTTTAATATTTTTAAAAAAATATAATTTTAATATTTATATATTATAAATTCTAATTATAATACTTTTTATATGCAAAAAGTGCTTATTTATTATAATTTTTTTATATAAAATAAATTTTGATAATGTACAGATAAAATAATAGCATTATTCTATCATAATATAATTTAATTATAATAAATATAAATATAAATATAAATTACATATTTAAAAATATTTAATTTCTTATGAATTTTACAATAATATAATTTAAAAATTCAAAAACATTAATCATAAATTTAAATTATATAAAAGTAAACGATTATCTTTTACTATACACACTTAAGTACCAAATAAAAATTAAATTTCAAAATAGAAGTAAAAAAAAATGGAACATGTTTCAAATAGAAGAAATTTTTTTCAAAATTGATTGTTTATAATAGTGGGTGGAGTAGTGGCCTAGTGGGAGAGAAGCACGATTGGACCGGTCCGGTCCGGTCCGGTTCGGGTCGATCCGGTTCAGTCTTCCTTTCACACCGCAACTTCTAAACTATAAATAGAGGGATTCATTGAACAGTTCCATTCTCTCCACTCTCTAATCACTAGTAACTATTCGCTTTCGCTATCACAATCTAGGGTTTTAGAAAATTCCCCCAAAACCCTCATGGCAGAAGACACCGTGCCGGAAGTCATCGATCCCATCACCGCCGTGGATATGGAAGTCGAGAGCGAGCCAACCCTGAAGCGTGCTAGGGAGGAAGAGGAGTCCCACGACCGCCCCGACGACGACGTTTCGAAGAAGCAGAAGCTCGACGAGGAAAAGTCCGTCGAAGAACAACGTTTGGAGAGGGAAACAATAGAAGAAAAGGAAAAGGAAGCAGAGAAAGAAGAAGAAAAAGAAGAAGAGAAGGAAGCAAGTGGTGCTGTGAACTTGGGACACAAGAGCTTTGGCTCTTCATCGGAGATGTTCCATTACTTCTACAACTTTCTTCATACCTGGCCTCAATATCTTAATGTTAACAAGGTTTTCCCATTAACCCCTGTTTATTTTACCCTATTTTTTTTATAATAGAAATTAGCAAGGTACATTTTGTGTTTTGAGTGCCAAGCGTGTCAATAATTGAATTTCAAATTTACCTTTTTTAACTCGTGTGGATTCATTGATGTTTGGTTCTCTATGATTGTGATTTCATAAACCCTTTATCTCACGTGTTTGATTTTTCGTGATTATGATTTTATTATAAACCCCCGATATTTGATTTTTCCTTGAGTATGATTTCATGAACCCCTTTTCTCGTGTGTATCGAATAGTATTTGATTTTGCTTGATTATTGTTTCATAGACCCGTTATCTCATGTGGGTTGGTTGGTAATTGTTTTCTGTGATTATGATCTCATTTAACTTTGGTGTTTTCTTGTTGTGAACAGAGTATGTGCTGGCCATCATAGCTGCAATTTATCTACATATTGCTATCAATTATTTAGGTTCTTTGCAAAGGCATCTATAATTGCATTAGGGTTTAGCGTTATTTGTTGTAATGCGTGGGTTTTTGAATCACTTTTTAGTGCCACCAAGGTTTGATGTGATAATACAATTTCACTGCATATTTGTATGTCGCAATTGAAGTATTGAACTGAGTGAAAAACTTATTGCCAAATGCCATCAAATGTTTAAGTTGGGATTTGACACAGTTCTATTATAGTATGTTGTTCTTTTTTTTGGGTAATTTGTGAATCTGTCTTGATGTGGCAATAGCTGCGAGCGGAATTTACTTCTTGCTGTGAATCCATATTGACTTGTTTTGTGTGGCAGTATGAACATCTGATGTTGTTGGAGTTGCTTAAGAACGGCCATGCAGAGCCTGATAAGAAGATTGGTGGAGGGGTTCGTGCTTTCCAAGTACGCAAGCATCCTACCTTCAAAAGTAGGTGCTTTTTCCTCATCAGGGAAGATGAGTCTGTCGATGATTTTAGCTTCAGGAAGTGTGTGGATCATATTCTTCCCATGCCAGAAGAGATGCATTTGAAATCTAATGCGAACAAGGCGTCCGGAGGTGGCAGTGGGGGTGGAAAGCATCATGGGCATGGAAAGGGTGGCAGAGGGAGGGGTGGGAGAGGAGGTGGGCGTGGGAGAGGAGGAAAGTGGAGAAATTAAATACAGTAGTATCTGCTGGTGTGGGTCGTATTATGATAAAATGTTTTTTTGTTTATTTGGCCCTCATATTTCATGTTTCTAGTTAATTTTTGTTCAGATTCTGATGCTAAAGTTATTTATAAGTTATGAAGCTTTTTGGCAATGCCATGTTTTGATTATGGCCGGAAATGAATCGAACCATGCTGAACGGATATGTCTAGTTTGTTTTGACTTATAAGAAATAGTTTATTTTAAATTTTGACTCGAGTTTAGTATCAGCAGGGTCCAGTCCAATCCAATCAAGCATGTAACTGTTTGGCAGAGATTTCATGTTTCACATGAACCAAATGTCAAAATGATAGCATGAAACAAATCAATTAAGCAAGTTTATGGACTTGGTTTGAGACTCAATTTAACTAATCCATGTAAATATAGATGTCTTCTTAGATATATAGCCTGTCTTATAAATTTCTGTAAAAGTATTTAAGAGAAAAAAATAGGAAGTTTGTTTTTTTTTCTTCTATTTTTTTAAGAAATGTATTTGTACAAATTTTTCTAAACATGTCTCTAGTATTGATCGCATAGTTCATGAATCATAAACCGAATGAGTTTAGTAGAATTTGGATAAATTTTAGCCAACAACTTGGATTTTTGTCCTATTCATTTAGTCCATCAAGCAAGGTCATTAAGATAAATTTTGAGATGCAGATTTGGGTAAATTTTAGTCAACAACTGTGCTAATTTGGTTTAGCCTCGTCGATAGAATTTAAAATTTTGATTTTGCAATGAGTTTCACTCCGTGAAAGTCTGATGGACAACGAGCCTATAATATGCAATTATCGGATAAAAACTTGTTGGCAATTGTGGAAATCAAATGTAAATGATAATCGCTATTACTAGGACAAATGAAGCCCTTTATGCCTTGTTATTAGATGAAAAATATTAAAAATAATAAGATAAAAATATTAAAATAAAAAAAATGATAGAGGACATAATCAATTATATAATTAAAGTATTGACTGAGAAGTAAGATAAGTTTAAGTGAGAAAAAAATACGACAATAAAAAAGAAAAAACATTAATATAAAAACTTAATTATTATACTAAATGTACATTAGTCCAATAAAAATGTAGAAACTAAAAATAATTATTATAAAGAGTATTTGGTTGTATAGATATAATTGTTTTTAACAATAGACTAATAAAAAAGCCTAGAGAGCTAAGTCCTCATCATAATTCTTACCAAAATAGACTTGGGTGAGAGTTATGGGTGGCAAAACGGGTCAGCCCGCCCCGCCAATGGCCCGCCAAAAACGGGCCGGGCCGGGCTGGCCCGCTGATGAAAAACGGGCTGAAAATGTTGGTCCGCCCCGCCTAAGGATGGGTTGGCGGGCCGGCGGGCCAGCCCACATACCCAAAAAATAATGTGCAAAAAAATAGTCCATGTTTCCTTTGATTCCAGCTATCATTAAAAACAAGTTGGGCGTGAGACTAGTGCAATGTATCCCTAGTCTGTTGGTCATCACATATCAGAGACAAATAGTTCACTATTGCAGCACTAAGATTGCTTTATTTTTCAGTGTTTATGCATGTAAAAACACAACACATATAATGCAAATGTCTTCCAAGTCAATATAGCATAATACATTTTCTGAACAGAATAGAAAGAAAGTTATAATATTAATTGAATTATTAAGAAAAAGTGCTTTTCAATTTAAGCATCACTAGTATATAACAATATATGAGATGGTACAATAAGGTTTCACCTAAAGAATCCGTACCAAAGACACCCTATATTTTGTTATTCAAATTAACACAGTGCCCAAAAATTCTGAAACAAACAGTAGTCTTCCTTTAATCAGATCTCATAGAAGCACAACAGGATGGAATCTACAAATGCGGTTTTAACATTGTGGGAAAACCAAACTTTCATGGTAAATATGCATATTAAACCCAAGTTCGCCCCTAATCCTAAGATAATCCAACCTACCATCATTCAGATTATACAGAACTAATTTGCCATATGTGTTTTTCATGAGAACAACACCATCTTCTAAAATGCACAAGGGCTTAGACGAGGGATACATTGCACTAGTCTCACTTATGCGGGCTGGCGGGTTGTGACGGGCCAGCCCGCTATTTGGCCCGCCGGGTTGGCGGGGCGGGCTGAAATAAGGGGCCCGGCCCGCCAAAATTTGGCGGCCCAACGGGCCGGCCTGCGAGCCACGACCCATTTTGCCACCCCTAGTGAGAGTATAATTGTGATATGATGAGGTGATAAGGTCATATTGATTGGTGCTTAACTCCAACATATATTTACATGTATCTCTCTTCCTAAGATCTGCATATAAAATTATCTAAGATTAGGGATTTTTAGATACATTATAGATTTTGATTTTCTAATTAAAAATTAATTTTATAATATTTTTTAAAACTTATTTGAACATTATAAAATTATTTCTAATATAATTTTATACATCAATACTTATATAAATAAGACCTACAAAAAAAAGTAAAGTCCCCACAAGTATACATTAATGTTATATATTAACATTATACTTTAAATATTATAACACTGTTTTTTTTAATATAATTTTATATATCAATACTTGCATAAATAAATAATAGATGGCGAAATATACATGACATTAACACCTATTATGTTATACTCTTTTAATTTTAATATAAGCATTTTTTATATTTTAATCTCTTTCAATACATTTTCTCCTTTCTTTTTTCTTTTTTTTTTCTTCTTCTCCCTTTCTTTTTTCTCATCAACACCTTTTTATTGTATAACTTTTATCTTTTTAAATTCTTTATTATCTATGAACTTTTATTGACCTTATGTATTTCTTGATTAAGTCGTCGAGATAACTTACGAATAAAAACTTGTATTAATACTCCTTACAATATAACCAAGAAAAAAATGATTAATACTGCTCTTTCGTATTAAAGAGATGTAATTGAACAATTAATTTTTTTCGTATGTAAAACTGTAAATTATGAATTGATAGTTCACATAACACTATTCAAAACAAAACTCAAATATATTTGTGATTGGAGAATTTGATAGTTATGTCCGTTACATTACACATCATCATGAAAAGCTTAAGTCCATTTCTTTGGCCTTCCGATTAAAATTAATCGCAAAAAATAAAATTAACTTTATCAAATAACAACCAGCTGAACTTTTAAGTGTAATTGGATTTTGTTAATTATTATCCCATGAAAATTGATGAAATAATTTTTATTAAATTAGTTGCATGTGAATTAAATTTTATGATAAGAATGTATTGATAATAGCATTGTTTTAGAATGCAAAACAAAATAATATATAATAGTATTTTTAATAAATACTACGAATATTTATTTAACATGCCACAATCGGAAAGGAAAAAAAGTTATTATTATAAAGTGTAACATTTAATATCATTATTATATTTTTATAGTAATTTTAATAAAAAAATTATTTATTATTTTATTGTCACTAACCGTAAGGTACTAATTAATGAAATAACATATAATTAACTTGTTGTATGTTCAATATTGTAGTTTTCATAAATTTTTATAAAAAATATATTTTATTTTCGTGTACACAATTTTTAAATTATTTTATTCTTAAATTTTTAAATAATAATAAATAATATTAAAAATTAATTGAATTTAAAATACATAATTTTGTATAAAATATCTTAATTTGACTAATATATATAAAGAAAATTTCTTTTAATGACTACTTTTGATTTTCATCCTAAATCGTAAATTATTATACCTTTTTATTATTATAAAAAAATAATAACTTTTTTCTTTAGTAATTATCATTCTCTTTTAATAACTATCTATTCAAATATTTTTATTATTTAACTATATTATTTAATAATCTCAATTTTATTTTATTTTTAAAATTTAAAATAAAATATAAAAACATGAAATGTTTTGACGTTGTTATATATAAAAGTTGAATAGAAGTACATTCTTAAAATAAAATTTATAATTAATTAATAAAAATCTTCTTTATTATATTTTTTTAGGACACTTTATAATGAATTTTAAGATATTTATTATTATAAAAATTAACGAACTTTTACAAATACGATGACTTGTAAGTTCCAATCGAATAAAAAAAAATAAAAAATAACCAGATATAAGAGAGAGAAATCAAATAAAAAACATAAAAAAGAAACAGAGAAAAGAGAAGTTTCAAATGCGAGAGACTAGAGTGCTACTCTATATTTATTTACAGAAACTGACTTACTATGTACATATATAGAGTATATTTGTCTACGTGTGATGATGAGTTAAAATGTATCTGCCTAATTTTTTAATATATATATATATATAATATTATATAAACATTTAATATCATCATTCTCAATAAAAAAAATATTAATTATTTATGAAGTATTTCGTAATGATATTCAATTATATATCTATGAAGAAGTTTGTTCAATTTTTTTTGTTGACAATGTTTAAATAAAAATATTTAATTATAATTGAGTATTTTTTTTAATCTAATTTAAAATTTTAATATGTAAAAAATACTTTTTTCTTATATAATTATAACCAAACACATACAAACATAAAAATTTGTTAAAAGTAAATAATTTTTGTATAAAATATATTTTTTATCCTTCAAATATTTTGAATTGACAATTTTAATTTATACAAAAATTTAATATATTTTTAGTCTCTACGTTTTATAAATAAAATCCATACATTTTTAATCTTAACGAGGGATTAAAATCTCATCATTTATGATGAATATAGAGACTAAAAATATTAAATTTTTATTAAAATGTGTTAAAATTGACTTTAGAAATATTTTGAGAAAAAAGATATTTTAAATATAAATTTTTAAACAAAAATGCACTAGTTCTATTAGTCATTTTCAACTTCCAAATCTCAAATAAATACAAGTGTAAACAAGTTGGATTGGACCAAATTTAGATGATCAATTATCCAACTTAATCAAATTTTAACGAGTTGGATTAAGTTGAATTTGTGCAATTCTTTTTAAATCTAATCCAACTCAACCCGATCACAAACGGATTGAGTTGGATTAGATTAATCAAATCAACATAATTAAATTTATTTATTTTTTTTGTAAAAATTTAAATATGAGATGCTGTTCCGGTATTGGAGATCACCGCCGAATAACCCTTAGCGATACCGAGCTAAAAGAACTTGACAGCAATCTTGACCTAGAACATTTGATAAGAGTAACCTGCCGCCTTAGACCTAATCATTGCTATATATA